CCCCCCCCCCCACACACACACCTGCTTCCCCATGTGTCCTCCCCCAGTCCCAGTGTCACTGCACCACTAACAGCTCACTTCTGCAGTCTCCTCCTGAGAGCCATCAGCAGCCCCCATGAACCCCGTGAGCTTGCAAGGTACAGCGCAGTACTCTGGAATTTAAGGCTGCTGTCATCTTGGTATCTAAGTGCATCCATGTCATGCTCTGTGCAGCTTCCACCCCACTCCCTGGCTCCAGCATCAGGCTCCTTCCCTCCCTGCCACCTGCAAAGAGACTTCTGCTTTGCCCCTTCTTGCCCCGATGTAAGAAAGCCCCATCACACGGCGTCATGGGAACAAGGTTTTGAACAGCTGGGAGTTCTTATCCCCACTGCCTGCCCATGGTGTCCTTACCTCTGCCTTCAGATATTATGCTAACAAGACTCAGAAGCCACCTTTCCCCTGGTGTGCCCTGCGTGATGTTACGTAGTTCTCATATGCAACAAACTCAACCAGCTGCCTGCACCCCCACCTCTCCATGTGCACTGAGTTCACTCCCCACTGCCTGCACCCACCCACCCCCTCCTCGGGCAGCGAGACCTCATTTGTGCAAATGGGCAGCCTTTGAATTGTTGCGGGGAGCTAAGAGGCACTTTAATGTTGGAAATTGGCCAAAGAATTTAAGTGTCTTCACCTTTTCAGAGGTGTGTAAAATCAGGTTTACCAGTTCCAAAGCCGAGGAGCAACAGGGACTGGGAGGCAGCATCCATGGATTCCACTCCCCGCTTGTATTGCTGACTCCATGTGACCTCAGTTTCCCCATCTGCAAAATTGGAATAATAATAATTGCAAAGTAATATCTAATTCTCTGGGACTTTGGCCAGGGCTCCCTGATGTTTGCAAAGCCACCTGAGACCCTATGATAGGAGGGGCTGTGAAAATGCAAAATATTATCAAAATGTTTATGCAAAATGTGAGTATGCTCACAGTCACGTGACAGTATACTGTGGGGGCTAAGCACAGGCCGATGACTTCATTGCAGGCAGTAGCAAAAGGGCTGCAGGGAACAATGGGACCCCTGACAGGAAAAGGCCTATTCCTCTCTATGGGAATGTACAAATGTGAACATCTTAAAATTTGCTCCATTGACAAAGTTCTCCAGGAACAGCCTGGAGGCCCTCAGTACAATGCATGAAACCCTGACCCCAGGCAAAACTCCCACGGGGGCCCAGATTTCAGCCATATTTTCTCCTCAAAGCCCTGATGTTTGATTGTAGAAGACCTACTTTGGGGAGCCTTGCCAGCCACCCCACCTTTGAGTCTCACTATAAAGTTCCAGTGCCCCTTTGCACTGGCTGAGCTGTAATTATTACTTGCAAGTGTAGCCTTGAGCCATGAACTAATCTAATCCTAGCCTTTCACCATCGCACAGTCACCTGGGCTAATTGCTTAATCCTTATAGAGGGGTAAATTTTAGTGGAAAGGTGTAAAGCCCTTTCGCAATTGAAAATCGGAATGTAAGTGGGAAGTATTTTATTTAGTTGATTGCACACATTCCCTGTGCACAATGATGGATTTAGGGTGCTTTGTTTTAGGGTATGTTTCCGCTGCCACTGGGAGCAAGCTTCCCAGCCCAGGCAGACAGACTTGTGCTAGTGGGGTTCAGGTAGCACACTGAAAATAGCAGCATGAACATTGTGGCTGGGGTGGCAGGTCTGACTGTCAAGCTCACCCGTTCCCTGGGTCTGAGGTTGGGTGGCAAGCCCAAGTCTCTGCCGAAGCTGCAACGTCCACACTGCTATTTTTAGTATGCTGGCTCGAGCCCCACTAGTGTGAGTCTGACACCCTGGGAGGCTTGCTCCCAGCTGCAGTGTAAGCGTTACCTGTAGAGTCTTGCTGACCACATTCAAATGGATGGAAGTGTCCGTGACTCTTCAGGGACATTCCCTGTGTTCTCAGGACAGATCCGAGCACTCTTCACTCAGCAAAACGCTTCATCCGCATTTGTGTCACTTGAAGAGCTGTGAAAATAACTGATTTTTTTCAGTTCACTGACAGTTCCAAGAGGGGAAAAAAATTATTTTCAAGTCAACCCCTAACCAAAATTTTTGAAGTTTTGGGTGAATTGAAAGGCAGAAATATTTTTGCGGTTGAACAAAATGTTTCATTTGACCCAAAAGAGAACATTTCTGTTGATTTGAAGCAGTCGGTGTATCCGTGTTTACTCTCTCATTTCCTTTGTCGGTTTGAAAGCATCAGTCATATCCTCTTTTAAGAGTATTGGGGGGAACAACAGCGATTTCTCCACCTTATTGCTGCTTTAGATCATTATTTACCGCTTGGTGTTCCCACAGTATTCTCATGTACCCTAGTACCTGGTGATTGCTGCCAGACGTTGTGCTAAAGGTCTGGTAGCTTTCTCTGTCACTCAAGTCCTGATTTCACTCTGTGTTCTGCTTGTTTGATTGTATCAGAGTAAATGACATGAGGTAATTTTAACTCATTTGATGTTGATGTGTGTATACACAAACAATGGGAAGCGAACTCTCTCTTAGAATATTGCAGTCGTGAGTTTACCACAGTCAATTATGCAATACCTTGTCTTGCAACCCCATCCGATTTCCTGGAGTGGGAGGTGCACTTGAGAATCTACCAGAGACAGTGTGTGTAAATCATCTCCTGATCAATCCATCATTGTGATCGGACAGTTTCCGTAAAAGCTCTGCCCTGTGCAACTGTAGGGGAAGCCCAGTCATAGTATTGAATGAGAACTAGAAAGAAAAAGAATGTCTCTTGATGAATATTTTTTCCATATTCTTCATTCAACTTGTTTAAGTAACTGGAAAAAGTGACATTTTTAAATAATTGTTTTCAAAAAACCATGCAGCAGTGCAGGGAAATAAACTGGCTCTGTCCCTTCTTAAATTAACTATTATTGTTCTAGGATGTAAACATGCTCACAAAAGAAGTTTCCATACCTATTGCCTTCTCAAATGTAGTTTGTTTTTTTGATGAGGCCTCCTGCCCCCATAGTGGTTACTGCAGGATACAGTATAATTCTCTTGTGTTGTTTTACTCCTCCATCTGGGGCAGAGATCACAAATTTCAATTAAGCTTATCAACCAAGTCAGGTGGGTGCAGAATCCTGAAGATCAGGACCTCAGTGAGTACCTTGTTCTTATCCTACAGTTATCATGCGCCTGCCTCCTTGCTTAGTACACCAGTTCTAAATCTCCAAATAAGACCAGGACATTAAATCTTAATCTGTGTTGGTGAGAATGGAAAATGCGGCACTTCAGCCTTCTCTGAGCTCTGTAGGGATGGGGTCAGCTCATGGTGCTTCAGTGAAATAAACACTTTGTATTTAAAACAATAGAGTGAAAATGAAAGTGCCTTTGGTCTGATTCTCCTCTCAGTTCCCCTGGCATAAATCAGAAGAAAATCCACAGAAGTCAGTAGAGTTACACCAGTGTGAATCCAGCCTGGGAGGAGAAGCAGGCCCTGTGGGTCTAATCCTGCCCATAGATACTCCAGTGCGAGCCCACAGGCTATCGTGGGGTGCAAGAGGGGTAACTTTAGCCCTGTAAAGACCAAATGAAACTCCATCCTTAGTGTACTCTTGCAATTCGGAGATCAGCGTGGGTGACCCGCAGGGGAGTGTAATCCCAAATCTCAGTAAGCGCAAACCATGGGCACACAAATCTGTCTGCAAACATTGCTCTTTTCCCCCTCACCCCCCAATCCTCACAGACACTAGTCTGTCAGCAATGGAATTTGGCTTGCAACACTGACGTGAGATGCCATTGCTCCTGTGGGTTTAAGTAATGCCTGCCTTTCTCTTTTTCTGGTGCAGGTTATGGACATGCTGCCCCGGGCACAGATGCTGGCAAAGTTTTCTGCATGTTCTATGCAATCCTTGGTATCCCCCTCACACTGGTTATGTTCCAAAGTCTTGGGGAACGCATGAACACTGTAGTCCGGTTACTGCTGAAGAAAATAAAGAAGTGTCTGGGCATGAAGAAGACTAACGTCTCTATGGAAAACATGGTCTTAGTAGGCTTCCTGTCATGCATGGGGACACTGTGTGTTGGAGCAGCTGCCTTCTCTTATTTTGAGGGCTGGACCTTCTTCCATGCCTATTATTACTGCTTCATAACCCTGACCACTATTGGCTTTGGGGACTTTGTAGCTCTGCAGAAAAACGAAGCTTTGCAGAAGAAGCCACCGTATGTTGCTTTCAGCTTCATGTACATCTTGGTCGGTTTGACTGTGATTGGTGCTTTCCTAAACTTAGTTGTCCTTAGGTTTTTGACTATGAACTCGGAAGATGAGAGGCGGGATGCAGAAGAGAGGGCATCCCTGAGGAGAGTCAGGAACAACATCCACCTGAAAGCTAAGGAAGACAGTAAGAGCAGAGATGCTGTTTTTCTACCCATAGAAGACAGGACAAGTCAAATGAACCTCATCCCACTGATGCAGGAAGACGCTGATAGACCAAGACGTCACTCTTCAAACTCCACCGCCAGAGTCCCTTCCTTCTGCACGTGTTTGTGCTACAGACCGCGGCTGTGTGGGAGCCCTGCCCCTTCCCATCCAGAGACCCTCAGCTGCCACACCAATCCCGTTTACTATAATTCCATTTCTTACAAAATCGATGAGGTCTCCCTGAGCACGAGGGGTCCCACTGGTTTCTCCTCCCCTGGGAGCACTTTATCGTCCAACAGCCCCAGCTGCAGAGAACACTACCGTCTGCGAAGGAAATCCATCTAAATGTGCATGCTCTTTGGGAATTTTTACTCTGAACTGTATTCTACTACTGAAGTCATATTTTGATGATGATAAATTATTAACGGAGGTCATTGTTATTACTCTAATTTTTTCTCCTCTCTCCTGCTCCCTGTTAGAATGGCTTCAACTCCAGCAGCTGCCAGCTACATAATATGCTGCCTAGCAATTTGTTTTAAATACCACTGATGAATAATTGTCTCTCTTAGCAGGAGATGTCAGACCATGTTACACTTTTTATTTTTGGCAGTATATTAAGGTAGCAGTGATATATAATAGCTCCCCACAAATTATAGAATCTGATGTCCTGTTTGTAGGACAGAATTGTTCCCTTGGAAATGGCTTACAAAAACCCTCAGCAGTGCAGTCTGTATTCCAGGCTTGCTCCGATTAATCCTTAGACTGCTGGTTCCTAGCGGTGTATGTCAGTAACCAAACGCTCAATGGTATGTGCCAAAATTTACTGAAAACAAAATCTGTATTAACAAGCTCTCCAGCAATGAAGATCCCTCTCTAAATTAGGGATCCTCACAAGCTGGGCACGTGTTCTTCAGTGTAACATTTTAGAGGTTTGCAAGTGATAATTTGCAGTGAGGTAATATACAAAAGAATTTCCTAGCTGGACAGTCACATAGTATCCGAACAGTGAAGGAAGCAACGTTGGCAGAGATTTGCAAAAAGGGAGATGATAGTGTATCAGCTGTGGAGATGCATTGTGCAACAGAAGAGGCACCAAGTTCAGTGGGGTTACATTTGTGCTACTCAGGTGGGGGGATGTAAACAATCTCCATCTGTTCTTACTGTCACTTCAATGTCACTCTCACTTCATGTTTGAAACCATCCACAGTGGGGCTCCAAACATGATGCAACTGGTCATTATGGCAGATAGATCATCTGCTTTTAAGTGACTCTCGATGCAGGCCCCAACCTGTGAGTAGGTTGCTCTGTCTTGACTGCAATGTTCTGGTTTCAAAGGAACATCCGGAGACCTCTCAGGTAGGGATGAAATATTCAAACCATCCCTCTGCCCCTGAACTCCGCCTCTCTGATGAGGCATGGCCATAGGGTGAGGCTCTTCCGGAAACAGGATGGAGAAGGGTTTGGGGGAAGTGGGATTGGATTTTTTTGAAGTGCAAGGTTAAAATTGGAGGCGAGCAAGCTTGGGAATAGTGCGCCTGAGCCCCTGGGGGCCCCCACCTTTGAATCTGAGAGCTGACCCTGTCCTCCATTAGCTCTAAGAACCCCCATCATCATCCTCACTGGTCTAAGGGAGGGCAGAAAGTAGCTCTAGCTAGAATTTCTGTTGCCCCACTTTTGGCTCTTTCCCCAGCACCCGCAGCCTTCCTTACATTCTAGTGCGGAAGGAATTTGTGGTGTTAGCATTAGTCGCTCCTGAGTACGATAACCTTCAGGTTCTGCTCAGAGCGATTTGTGCTCGTAAGAACAATGAAAACCCAAACTAATGCTGCCGAGGAGGCGGAGTCTGCGCTATCGGAAATACTCAGCATTACAAGATTTTAAACCAATTGGGGTGTTGGGTGCAACCTTGCACCTTCCCACTGTAGTTCAACCACAAAGACATCATGCTCCAGAGAAGGGGTAAGCTCCTTGCTTTGCTAGACTTTGTGTCTCATCTGCTATTTGAAACAAACAAACAAGCTCTTATGGGCTGTATGGAAATCCATTCTCATACGCTGGGATCGGTTGGCCTAGAATAGAGATTTCTGGGTAACCATGCCTATCTTGCGCTCACAGCCACTGCTCTCATGAAGATTTTTGGCACCCAAAAGGGGCCCTATGAAAGGCCCAGAACTGCTGTCTCTGCTCACTGAGATTGATCTCCACTTGTTCCTCTGGGGGACATGGGGCCAGCTCCCCACCTGTTTACTTCAGTGGAGCTGAGGTTCTGGCCATTAGTCTTCTGGGGCTTAGCAGCGTGCTTCCCCTTCCCTCTCCTCTCATGGTAGCTTGTTGAGCCGTGATCCTAAATGGGGACGTGGAGGGTGGCGAGAACAGCTGGGACCTGACCCCCAGTCCCGCTCTCCAGCAGCTGTGGGAAAAGGATCTGCCTCTTACGGAGCCTCAGTCCTGCAGCTGCCTTGTGGGTGAAGAGGATGAGCTTGCAGCCATTTCAAGCTGTTTGCTGGCAGCTTCTTCCCTGGAGAGCAGGAAAAGTGCCTTCCAATGCTCCCGCTTTGATTGGCACCAGCTCTAGCAGGGAATTGCCACAGTCTCCTCCACATTTGGTCTCAGAACGGCTCCTAGTGATGCTGGAGCAGGAAGGCTCCAGCGTGGGCCTCACCAGACTTCCTTTCTCCTGACTAGGGAGTGGAGAGGAGAGTGAAAAGAGGTAGGGCTTGTGGTGGGACCTATCCTTGCAATCCTCTTCCAATACTGATACTGCCCCACCCACCCTGCACCTTCGCATATACTCCTCATCAGCCTCTGGCATGACATTACTCTTCCCCCATAGGAGTTCTGGTCAAACCCACACTATGGAGGTCAACAAACTCTTCCTCCCCTTACATACAGCCTTGGCAGAGTGCATACCAGCATGGGGCTGTGGGCTGTAGGGGTCTCATGTCTCTGCTCCTCTCCCACCCCACCCCCAAGCTCCTCAGAAGGCTGCACCGTCTCCTGAGATTTCCACCAACAACCCCCTCAGAGTCCTCTTCCTCGGCTGGGCCTCTTCCCAAGGAGAAGGCGGCAGTGAAAACAAAAGGAGGCCTCTGACAGAGGTTCCAGCAGGGCAAATAGCCAGGGGTGCTCTTCTAACAGGTTGGGGGGCCCACATGGTGACCCACAAATGCCCTACCAATGGACCAAGAATATTAACTGGCTGGAATTGAGGGCAACGAGATGTCAGGTTCCCTTTGCCACATTACAGAGGGAGAATCGTGCTCCAGCGGGGTATATGTGATGGAGACCCAGAACACACAGTTCTGCACGGGTGCCCTTTCAACCGCATCCATCCTGGGGAAATTAAGTTACATGAACAGCAACCGGCAAATCCTTCAATCGTTCCATATTCTGCCTGCCGTTTTAGCTATCAACAGCAGCTGCACAGTGGGCCTGATTTCTAACCAAGGATTGATAAATCCCTGCAGGTTTGATCCCATGTGTTTTCTGAGTATTTCATTTATTTCTTTGTGCCAGGATTCTCAGCAGGAGGCGGAGCACATGCACAAAGGTGGCACGTGGCAGGCACAGATAGAGGCTGTACAGTGGCCATGTGCTAGGCCAACCCCCACCGAATTATCAGTAAAACCTGGCACGCAAAATTTGTCCCAGTCAGCCAGTCGTTTCCATTATTCAGACTCTGCTGGTTTATTATTTGTATGATGGCAGCATCTCTACTGAATTATTATTTGTTCAGGTTTTGGCATGGCTGGTGCAGCTGAATACTCAACTGTTTTGTCTCTCCTGCCCCTGGGGAGCTCCCACACGCAACCCATACTTTGGAAATCCTATTAGAATACAACCAGCCATAGGTGGATGCTCAAAGCAAGTGAGTGCTCACTTTAAGTGGGCAGCTGTGCATCTAACTTGTTCAGCCCCCCCATGCCTTTCTATTTGTGAAAACACGAGATCAGATTAGGGTTCTTGGAGGTTAGAAAGTTGCAGTTTAGCTCCTGCTGTTTGGAGGCAAAGAGCCCCCAGCCCGTACTGCTGTGTAAAGCCGTTGCATCGAGCTCTAGCTGGGAAGAGAAGTAGGAGTCAGTCCTGCTGCACATGCAGTAGGGCCAATATGCAGTTGCATATCCCCGCGGATGAGGAGCCTGACGTGTTGGGAGAAGGCTGCTGCTGCAGGGAGAGAGGGTCGCCTCCAGTCCTGCTTGCTGCCGTGGGTGGTGGCAGGTAGCAAGTGTCTGGGGCCTCGAGTGCTCTGCATAGCAGAGAGGAAGGATGGTTTGTGGTTATGGCATTGGACTGGAACTCAGGAGAGGTGGGCTCAGTGCCTGACTCTGCCACAGGCTGCCTGTGTGACACTGGCCAAGTCACTTCCTCTCTTTGTGCCTCAGGTCCCCTGGGGATATCTTCTTTTTCCCACCCTTTGTCTGTCTTAGATTATAAACTCTTTGGGGCAGGGACTGTCTTGCAAAGCGTATGGACAGCACCTTGCACAACTGATCTCAGCCGGGGCCTCCAGGTGCTACCACAATGCAAATAGTACTATAGGAAGTGCCAGCTCTGGAGTTCCAGCTCACCCCTGCCAGTGCCAGGCACATCACTGTGGGACTCCTGGGCACACCCTCCACCAGCTCAGCTGGCAGTACAGCCCCAGTGTAGGGGTCTACCTGGCAGTTCTGTCAAGCCTCCACCAGGATACTGGCTCCTTGGACAAACCCTGCTGTTTGTCATGACTCTGGCTCACAGTCTGGAGTAATTTTCGTCCAATGCTGCACTTAGCGTCCAATCCTCCGCCTGTTAATGACCCAGCTTCCTGAGTTCCTTGGTAACAAAGGCCAGGCCCATACTGTGCACCCCAAGAGCCTGGACGGACTGCGGCATAGAAGGCCAGTAGCTGTGGCATTCCTGCTTTGTCCCCTTGCCACGCGGTGGTGCCCTGAGCATCTTTTCCAGCCTCAGTAACTAGCCACCCCAATTGCAAGTGTTCACCACCGTGCTTCATTATATCCCTTCTGCAGGCCACAGCCTGGAGTGTTATTTATATACTATTTATAGCCAGCTTCCCCCACCTGCTTCCGCAGAATTAGCTGCAGCCAGTCCTACCTACTCCTGCCTTCCTTCATGTGACGCTGCCTTCCTGCCTGCTTAGATAGCCCCAGCTGCTGCAGGTTACTTCCACCCAATTACCCCCTCTATTCAGGTAATTGGCATGCTCAGCTACCTGCCTGTCTGTCAGTCAGTTACTGTGTCCTGGTGAGAAGGTGAGGGCCAGAGTGCTGGTCAGCTGCTGGCTCAGCACACCCTGTTACACCCCTGCGGAGGCAATTGCACAGGGAGCTGCCCTGGGATTGCACTGGCGTGAACTGAGCAGAGCTGGATTTGCTCCATGCAGCCCAGGTGTGTTAGGATGCAGTTCCCTCCTTCCCAGC